CTTGGCTCCCAGCCCTTATTATTGTTACGTCGAGGAGCACCTCGCCCCTTGCCCTTGGAATGTGTGACCCCCGCCGCGGGTCCATCCTCCACTGGCTGAGCTACTGGGGCCCAGAGCTGAGCCTGTCTCTCTTGCGTGTCTGCAAGATTTGCCTGTTCCTTAGGGGACACTTCTTTGAAAATGTCATCCTCTGTCAGTTTATGTGTCGGGCTATTCTCCGCCCAAAACACTGCATGTTTCACCGCTTCCTTAAAAGACTTAGCTTCCCTGCAGTGTAACGCACTTTCCCGCGGTAATGCACCGAAAAAAACACTCCGTTGCATAGAATCTCTTACTACCCCCGTGAACTGCGTTTCCGTCCGCTCAATCACATCACCCAAGAGTCTTATTCTATGGCCAAACGCCCTTAATTGTTCCCCTGGTTCTCGTTTAAGTGCAGCTAACTGAGCCTTTAGTTCTACTGCATCGTGCTGCACATCATAATGATCTATCAGTTCCTGCTTAAACTCGCTATAACTATTTATTTCTCTAATTTCCGCCGAGTTGAGCAGGGTCTTTGCTTCCCCTTTCACCTTGGAATATGCCAATGCAATCTTTGCCTGATCCGACCATGACCCCACACTAGTCGCCTTCTCTAGAGCAAAGAAAAATGTTCTAATATCCGTCAGTAACTGACCTTTCGAATCCCGTTTGGCGCCCCAAAACGTGGGTATGTCTCCATATACCTTAGGTCCTGCATTAGTCGTCTCATGCGTGCTCAACACATTTTTCAACCACTGTGCAACCTGCCCAATTGTCTCTGACGCTGCCGCCTGCGCCGTAAGCAACGCCGCCGTGTTATCCCCACTCTCACCCTGACCGACATACTCGTGGCCTGGCCACTGGCGCCCCTATTACTACCCGTACCCGTCATGGCTACTCGCCCCTTATGTGCTCGTTTATGAACCAGCTTGACGCTTTACCGTACAGTAACCTTACTTGGCCTTATTCCCTTAATCTCACTAGAATCACTTATAATTTTAAGCCTCCATTAACAACGTCACTTATCAGTTATCCACACTACTGTTTCCACCCCTTAGGGGACCTTTCCCTGCCGCACAACGTGGCCACTCCACTTGGCCACACACCTTGGCCCCACACCCCACTATGGCCACTCACTGGCCCACACACCTTCCCTTCCTCACTCCAATATCCACCGTTCTGAACACAACCCGACGTCTACCAATTCCCGAACATTCCCTCACCAACTAAACCAGTAACACACTTCCTTCATCTCTCAAAGTGTTCCAAACCTGTTTGCGCTGCCACCAAATATGTCGTGACGCTGAACCCCGGTTCATTCCGAACACAGCGAATACACAACACATAACACCTTGCCTCAGCAACCGTTACTACCACCGTGTACTCCTACACACACCAGACCCTTGAGGCGTACCACTAGGTTTGTACTGGAACACAATGAATGAACATATGGAAGGTATTTAAAGGCCGTCGGGTTTTGTCATTTAATTACAAAGAATAGACTCTGACAAATAATACTATATTAACATACTCTATTAGGTCAATACACTTCCAATACCCATAGACCACTTGACCTCCGCGATCACCACCCACACTTGTAACTTTCGCCTAAGTCCCTAATACGGAATGATTACTACAACGCTCCACACCCGGTTAGTCTTACATTCAATACTCACATACTGCAGACTTAACTTGGTCACTAAGATCACAACAGGCTCTCGCATAGCTGTCTGCTCCACTTCGCTGCTGCCACAACCGGAGATGCGGAGGACTTCCTAGTTCCACTCCCACAATCAGACTGACCCCAGTCAGCCATCTCCCTCAACCATTTCACCACACCTCTCAAGGAAGGTATAATCCGATTAACCTTATCCCTAAAGAGGTAATCTTGTTCCTAGAAGCCTGACGAAGAATAATTCCTCTTTCCAGGAATTAATCATTTGGCTAAACAGCTTCGGTCTTAATCCATTGACCTTTCTTAGATATGTGATCCATAGTCTGTCTACTTACATGTACTTCCAATCATCATTCGTTAAGTGTTGTAGTAATAATCCTCTAGCTAATAATTCCTACTAACTTGTGGATTACAACAATATAATATATTATATATATATATATAATATATTATATAATATATATATATATATATATATAATATATTATATAATATATTATATATATATATATATATATATATATATATATATATATATATATATATAATATATTATATATAATATATATATATATATATATATATATATATATATATATATATATATATATATAAATTGGGAGTAAAGTAGCTGGAGAGTAACTGTATAAAGCAGATCCAGACAGGGTATGTATTATGAGCTATTCATGCCCGTGCCACCTCTTGGGTGGCTGAATATTTATCAGGGTATGAAGAAGTGCATCCCAAACCTTTGTACGGTAACTTACCACTAAAGGTGTGCCGAGTAATAAAGTATATTTGCTGGATGGATAGTTAACTATTGTGGTGGCCTTAATAACCCTCTCGCGGTTGATAGGCGTTAACTCGAACACAGGTCCCAACCCAAGCAGACGTACGTCAACCTTTGCAATAATTCCGATGAAAATTAAAATTTCTCATCATGTCCTCATTTAGTAGTTGGAGACAATTGAATATGATGAGGTAGAAACTAGTGAGGGGGTCGGAGGATGTTCCGTGAGCCGGGGTTATCTAATATGGTAGCTGCTATAGCGGGTCTGGGCGGCGGCGTCACCTCTCTCAACCTCTACGCTTTCTCCCAACATTATCGCTCGTATTTCACTTCCTGTCTTCGTCTTTCCCTTCCTAAATGAATGTAATAGTGTCATCTGCGATAAAAATGACAGTAATTGAAGGAAGATTTTCAGTGATTGTAATTCCTCAGTGGCTGGCAGGGCGAGGCTCCGCCGTCTTCAGGTCAGAGTCCGGGTTAATGCTGTATTGTGTGCCTTTTACGGCTCCCTTCAGCCATCATCAGTCATACTTTTCACGCACTTTCATATTTTATAGTATCCTTTTGTTTCTGTAGCAAGAAGATGAAATGGTGAATTACTTATTTTATATACAATTTGTAAAGGTTTTAATTGCTGGTATACAGCCCAACGTCTTGTGACGTCTACAAATTAATATGTGGTATATATGTTGTCTAAGGATTGGTATGGTGATAACTTACTTATAGTAGTGACAGTTATCTTTTTTTTATTAATATATTAGGTACATCTGCATTTGTGCAGCTACCCTAGACTATATGAAGGGGAGTACAGTGTGTCAAAAAGCTAGCTACGTGATGCTAAAAAATCCCCATCACACAGGATGGTTAGTCATACAGAGGTATGTGATGCATCAAACAGAGGCTGGGTACATCATGAGGATATCATCAACACAAAAGTGAATAAGGTAGCAGTAATACTAAAAGTCCCCCATCTCGCAGGATGGTTAGTCATATAAGGCCATATGTTCAGTAGCCTGCACTGGCAAATTTTGGGTGCAATATGAGGATATCTTCAAGAACACGAGAGTGAATAAAGTAATTGCAAAGCTCTAGGTACCTCATGCCAACGGGTCTGAATGATCTAAATACTGGACATTCGGTGATGTAGTGTGGGTCTAATTCAACTTCATCTTTGTTACACTCTAATTTGGCTGTAATGTTTGTCTCATTATGATGGGCGCAGTTACCAACCCCGACTCGTATATAAAACTCTATGGGATATTATTCGCCTGTTTGTACTCATGGGTGTTGAGCTCATTGGTCCTGAATCTCAATTTTCAATAGACTAGTGAACTTGTTCACTAGGCTAATGTGTTTTCTGCTATATCATTCCTTGACTCTGTGTATGGAGTCTGCTTGTGTCACTTCAATGCATAGTTTAAACTCTTCTTCACTTCACTGGCTTTATCCTGAGGCACTTCTTTCCACCTGTATCCCTCGTCCCTGCCCCTTTCATCTAAATAATTTGTTCTTGTCGATTCCTTCAAATATTCTGTATTTCGTAATCATGTTTCTCCAGTTTTTTCTCTTCCGGTGTTGAAGAAATTGGTGTATGCTTTGTGGCTTTCTTTACGCAGCACACAAAATAAATGTTTTGATGTTTCAACGTGAACTTCAGTCATTAAATGTTAATTTTGTGAGATTGGCTGATGTTTGGCCTTCAGAGCAGTTGTATAGAGCTCGACGTCGTCATCAGCCGATTTCTCACCTGGCAGGCACTATGTGCACCTGTATTGATATAACGAGAAATCTAGCCCTTGCGGGGGAGAAGTCGGTGGTGGTGGAGGCGTGGGTTGTGTTGGGGTGTGTGGAGGGGGTGTAGCTGGGGCGTGCAGTTAGCGTCTGCCGGAGGAAAGTGGCAGGGGAACTGAGAGGGGGTGGGTGGGGGCGAGGGTACACTTAGCGGTGATAGAACTTGTCATTACATGGACTTCCTTGTATGTTCTTTCAAACGCGGGCGTGTTAACTTGAAATATTTCTGCTACGGCAACTTGTAACAGTCTGGTGGTGTGACTATAAGGCCCATCATCAGCGTCGAGGGTTATTAAGGCAGCCATAATAGTTTACTAAGCAGCCAGTACGTATGCTGCAATCCTGGAGAGTATTTATGAACAAATTTAAACTTGTATAATTGTGTGTACATTGTGACTATAATTTGTGGAGATAAGTGTATTTCCCTCGCAGCAAAAGGCTTAGGCTCCTGATTATGCTTTTGTAGCTGTGTGCATCGTTCCTAGATATTGTTGAAATCATTATAACGTAATGTCAATAACTAAAATAAAAGTGTTCGTTTAATCTGTAATTAGTTGTATTACTCTTAATTATATTAAATATATATCAGTACAATCATAAGCGAGGGATTCTGAGGATTATTAAGACATTTTATATAATATTTTTATTGTTTATTAAAGAACATTAATAAGTTATTTAAGATGTTGAAGGCAAGGATGTGTGTGTAAACCCCAACTGTTGCAGCTGGCAGCCTGCCGTCGCCCCTCCACCACCACCAGAGGGACAAGCGCGCCCTGCGCCTCAACGTGCCCTGCATCGCCAACGGAGAGTTCTACCGCAACCCCTCAGCCAACCCTGAGAAGGTCTGGAGCCTCGGAGAGTGTTCCAAGTACTACCTTTGTCTCGGTGAGTCACAGTCCACGGTCCCGGGTTCGAGTCTCGATCGAGGCACAAATGGGTTGTTTCTTCCACCTGCTACCTCGCTTAAACCTAGTAGTAAATAGATACATGGGAGTTAGTGGGATGCAGTGCGTGTGTGTGTGTAATTACCTAAGTGTAGTTACAGTATGAGAGCTACGCTTGTGGTGTCCCGTCTTCCCAGTACTATTTGTCGAATAACGCTTTGAAACTACTGACGGTTTTGGCCTCCACCACCTTCTCGCTTAGTTTGTTCCAACTGTCTACCACTTTTGTAAAAGAAAACTTGCTAATATTTTTTCTGCACCTATGTTTCATTTGCTTGAATCTGTGTCCTCTTGTTCGTGAAGTTGCTGGTTTCAGGAATTCCTCTTTGTCAATTTGGTCGATTCCTGTTGGTATTTTGTAAGTGGTGATCATATCTCCTCTTGTTCTTCTATCTTCTAGTTTTGGCATGTTCATCGCCTCTAGTCTCTCATCGTAACTCTTGTTTTTCAGTTCCGGAAGCCATTTTGTAGCATACCTTTACACTTTTCCAGTTTATGTGCTTCCTAACATATGGGCACCATACAACTGCTGCAATTCCAATTTTGATATCACAAAAGTCATGAACAGTTTCTTGAATATTTCACCATCCATATAATGAAAAGCAAGTCTAAAGTTGTAAGCTGTCACCAGAGGAACACATAAAGAACATTGTGAATTTTGTATTATTATTATAATAATAAAAAATTCACAATGTTCTTTATGTGTTCCTCTGGTGACAGCTTACTATCCAAAACCACCCCTGGTCTCGTTCTTTATTAGTTCTGTAATTCCTTTCCACTTAATTTGTAAGTTGTGTGTGGTCTATTTTCTCTTATTCCTCATTGAAATAACACCACCTACAGAACAAGTTTTTATTCTTGCACAAGCGGAATGGAGATAAAGGGTGAGTGAGAATGGGCAGAAAACAGAGAGTTTCAAAGTACAGTAATATACTGTACTCAACACAGATGGTATTACAACTAAAACAAGCAAACTTGGAGAAAGGTCACAAGAATATCATGATATGGTAGAGAACTCCATATTGACTCCAGAGTCCATGCGGGCTACACTTAAAAACTGTGTGTGGCAACAGGCGGGGCTTACAGAATCCTTAAAGAATACAGTAATGTTCCGGGTTGAATAGCCTTCAGTGCGGGTCGTGGCTCAGGGGTATGGCGTGCATTTTGCATTAAAGGACACTGGTTCAGTCCCCCTATTCTGCTCCGGCGATTTTCTCAATGATATATTACGCCACTGTGATTTTATTGTGTACTTTTCCTCATGTATGGAAACTTCTATCGCCTTCCAGTGCCCATGAGCTTCCAGTTCTCATCCATATACATCTTCCTGTACACGGACAACATTACAGCACTTTTACATGTACACACCTTCCTATGTATGTGGACTCCAGCACCTGTACATGTATACACCTTCCTATGTATGTGGACTCCAGCACCTGTACATGTATACACCTTCCTATGTATGTGGACTCCAGCACCTTAACAAACACATAGGCTACCGTATAATAATATTTACAATTTCTACAGACGAAGAGGTATACGAGTTCAAGTGTTCCGTCGGGCTGCTGTTTGACATCGCCCGTCAGATCTGTGACTTCAAGTCCAAGGTGTTCAACTGCGACACACATGTTCGTAAGTTAATGTTCACGGTTTCCTTTACCATTATTTTTGTTACCATATGCCAACATGTTTTAATAATAACACTGTTGATCACCATCGTGAGGGCCTGACTCCTCATGTTTGTAACATCTAGCTTATTTTTTATTTGTTTTAACACTGATGGCGAACAAGGGTAAGACGAGTGGCCAGGGAAGCCATGGCCAGAATTCAACAAGCATGTGCACATTTATTTACGAACCTGAGGCCAGATTCACGAAGCCGTTACGGAAGTACTTACGAACATGTACATCTTTCCTCAATCTTTGACGGCTTTGGTTACATTTATTAAACAGTTAATGAGCTCCGAAGCACCAGGAGGCTGTTTATAACAATAACAACAGTTGATTTGTAAGTTTTCATGCTTGTAAACTGTTTAATAAATGCAATCAAAGCCGTCAAAGATTGAGGAAAGATGTACAGGTTCGTAAGTGCTTGCCTAACTGCTTGGTGAATCTGGCCCCTGTGCATCTTTTCTCAATCTTTGACTGCTTTGTTTACGTTTATTAGAGAGTTTACGAACATCGGAACTTCACAATCAATTATTATTATTGCTATAAACAGCCTCCTACAGTGTTTCGTTGTTGTTGAGGTGCCACGACAATCGAGGGGTCGGATGCGCTCAACCCTCACGTCGCATAAATAAACAAAGTCGTTAAGTTTAGTTCATTTATTATGCACCCCATACCTATCCTGTGGGCGGTAGTGAAAAGGGTTACAGAGGCTCATAATGGGCTCAAAATTCATATAAGCTAAGCAAATTACAATCTTGATTAGCTAGTTACAAAAATTTAATGTATACAGTATTGTTATATCAACAATGGGTTCGAGACAGACCACAAGTACAGTCTGTAAGCTGAGCAGCTGACATGTGGAGAACTAGTTTCATATTTGATCCGGTATTTGATTTCATATTTGGTAGGGAGCCGGTCGGCCGAGCAGACAGCACACTGAACTTGTGATCCTGTGGTCCCGGGTTCGATCCCGGGCGCCGGCGAGAAACTATGGGCAGAGTTTCTTTCACCCTATTTCCCTATTACCTAGCAGTAAAATACATATACAAAAAATAATAAAATACCTGGGTGTTAGTCAGCTGTCACGGGCTGCTTCCTGCGGGTGGAGGCCTGGTCGAGGACCGGGCAGCGGGGACACTAAAGCCCCGAAATCATCTGAAGATAACCTCAAGAGTGATGTTTATCCTGCAAATTTATTTATGCAAATATTCAGTGGAATTACCCCCCCCCCTTTCAGTGGGCAGCGGTGAAAAGGTTAGTCACAACAGTTAGTACCTACAGTTAGCAAACTGGAGATATTTGGCTTAAATTTATGATAGGTCATTTTTGAATGGAATATTTACACATTTCTTTAAATGTTACGTTAGGTTAGGAAATGTTAGGTATGCTGTGAATAATAATATTCTTGAATATTTCTTATTTTTTTCTATATATTTGATCAGGTCTTTATCAGCAGGTAATAAAAAGTCCCAGCTAAATCATGGTTTAGTAAACCTCAAGTCTCGGTTAAGAAGAGATTAATGTCAGCAATGTCATCTTACAGGGCGGTGGTCCCAAGAACCCACCACCGTGCACTTGCCAGGGGCCTTCGTTGGGTTTCTAGTTTTATTTTAAAACGTTGGTGCCAGAATTTTTTTATTGATAAATCGGTCTCACACTTTTTTAAAAAGTAGAAACCTATATGAAGTTGTTGAAGGAACAGTGTATGAACTTAGTTTGAATATACTAGCCTGAAAAAAGTAAGCATTAGTAAAATTATCTTATACCCTGGCCTATGTAAGCTAGCCTTTAGTAATTTTCTGTACATAATTGTTATCCATTAATTTGTCATTTATATGGCCTTTCCTGACAGAGTTGACGACGCCCAGGCCGCTGCTGTCGACGGAGGAGCCCATGTGTCCCTTCGGAGAGTACGCCTGCGGGGACCGGGAGTGTCTTCCATCTGAACTCTTCTGTGATGGCCAGGTTGACTGCAAGGACAGCTCTGACGAGGGCTGGTGTGGTGAGTCCTACCCTCTCTACACATCTCGTTTTTATTTTCAAAGTTCTTGAATCTTCCTCTGCGAGGGTAATTTTACAGTTAGTTTTTCCCAAGAGTTCTATGGGAAGGATTGAATCTTTAGTTCTTCATAAAGTTTCTCGTTAAATCCATAACATTATGTTCTTGTAGGAGAGATGAGTATTTATAATAACACTCTTCCATGGATTCTTGGCTGCTCTAATAGCACACACTAGTGTCAAGTTATTTGATTTGTCGATCTGGATAAAATTAATTTATTTTTGGCTCTTTGATAGATGCGGATAACGACCCGAATGCGGCTCTGCGATGTGACTACAGCAACTGTACCCTTCCTTGGTGCTTCTGCTCCCGTGATGGTACCCTCATACCAGGCAACATGGAGCCCGCACAGGTACGCCCACATACACACCCTTCCACATTAGATTTAGATTTTTTTATTCAGGTAAAGGTACATACATTGAGTTACATACATAAAGCTGGATTTAAAGATAGAGGTAGTACATACAATACCTAAAGCCACTAGTACGCATAGCGTTTCGGGCAAGGTGACGGGGGGAAAAAACCACTTCGACTAAAACTTAATAGTAATTGAGCTAAAAGTATAAATTGTGTTGAAAAAAAAGGGGGGGGGGCAAGGCAGAGAATAGCAATTATACAAGTTGGTCAACAAACAGCATTGATTACAATGGTAAGACATGGGTTGACATTTAGGGGTAAGGTAGGTTACATGGACTACATTCACAATCGACTTGAAAATGGTCCAGGACGGACTGAAACGTCGTCGCCCCTTCACTTTCTAGTGTGTGGTCTGGTCAACATACTTTAGCCACGTTATTGTGACTCATCGCCTGCATAGGTTACATGGAGTTTATTAGGTAGTTTTTAGTTTCCATCTTGAACTGGTTGAGAGAGTGATGTCTGGGGCCAGAGTTAGATATTGTTCTGATAGCAGCTTTGTGTTGAGTAATTAGAGGACGTAAATGATTTTGGGTAGTAGAACCCCAAGCACAAATACCATAACTGAGATAAGGATAGATGAGAGAGTAATAGAGCGTCACCAGGCCAGGGCGAGGTACAAAGGAATATAAGGAAACACACACACACTTCCATATAAGGCAAAACACAACTTCCATATATACTACAAGGAGAGGCAAGGTGTTAAATATGCCAAAGATAGAGGGAAAAAGAGGCGATATAATCACTACGTACAAAATAGTATCAGGAAGACATAAATAAGGAATTTTTTAAACCTGCAACTTTAAACCCAGGAGGACATGTATTCAAGATGACACAAAAATGCAAAAAAACAACATAAGTTCTCGTCTTACGAAGAGCTGTAGAAGGATGGAACACGTTAATCGAGAAGGTAGTGGATATCAAAAACCATCAGTAGTTTGAGTCGCATAACTAAAGATTATCGAAAAGATGGGACACTACGAGCGTAGCTCATTCTGTAACTATTCAGGTAATTACGAATTCCTGACACTTTAAATTATGCGCGCGCATTCTAATGGCCACTCTGGGACTTCATATATAACCATGCCCGCCCTCATTCTGCAGGTTCCCCAGATGGTGACACTGACGTTTGATGACGCCATCAACTACGAGAACTGGGACCTATATGCACAGCTATTCAATGGAGAGAGAACCAATCCCAATGGATGTCCCATCCACGCCACCTTCTATGTCTCTCACGAGTACAACAACTACCAGTATACTCAGAAGCTCTGGAACGATGGTCACGAGATTGCTGTCCACTCAATCACGTATGTTGGTCTGGCCGATTTGGGGCTGACTTTTGGGCAGAGCATACAAATGAGTACAGAGTAATGCAAACAATATACAGGGTAGAGAGATTTTGGTTGAACATTAATATAGTTCCTCCTATCTTGGATGATCACTATACAGACACAAGGGCCCAGAGAACTTCTGGACGAACAACGCCACCATCGAGGACTGGTTTGACGAGTTTGTGGGCCAAGCCAACATTATCAACCGCTTCGGGGGCGTTCGCATGGAGGACCTCTGGGGTGAGTTGTCGGTAAAGCCACTGGAAATGGTGTACACTTCAGGGTGATATACGCTAGAGATTGTCTGGAATGGGGGGGAAGGGATGGTTAAATTTCAGTTTAACTCACTTTTTAAAGACGGCTAAGTAATGGCACGTCTCTAAAGAATAGTGTAATATACGGTGACAAGTAGCACACACTACCTGTTCCTGTATGTGCACAGTGTATGTATAGTATTTGTGAAGTTGATGACAAACCACATGGATTTTGTAATATTTCTATTTAAATCCATATAAGGTGCTACCCAGCACCTTTCCCTGATGCAAGTTTTGTTGTTGTTTTGTGTGTGTCTACGTACGTACTAGGGTACGTGAGTATTAGGCTCACATTCGCTAGCCAAACACACTGTTCACTCGCCACTCACCTTCATGGGATTGCTCCTCAGGTGTTCGTGTGCCCTTCTTGCGTGTGGGATGGAACAGACAGTTCATCATGATGCGGGAGTTTGGCTTCATCTATGACTCTTCGATGGCTGCGCCTTTCTCCAACCCTCCACTCTGGCCCTACACCCTCGACTACAAGATGCCCCACAAGTGTATGGGCACAAGCCAGCGCTGTCCCTCTAGATCCTTTCCGGGCATATGGGAGATGGTGCTCAATCAACTTCAGGCAGGGGTAGGTTTTGGCAGACCAGAGGGTATGTATGTATGTATGTTGTTGTACACTACACTGCATAACGATACCGTGTTTTCCCATGAAATTGTAAAAGGATGTTGTTGGACTTGCAGGAGTACTACTGCGCTATGATGGATCAGTGCCCACCGTCGACGGACGAGGAGGATGTGTATGAAATGTTGATGCATAACTTCCGCCGACACTACAACACCAACAGGGCACCGCTTGGCCTCTACTTCCACACCATCTGGTTCAAGACCAAGCACAACATGAAGGCAATGAAGGTCAGTAGGCGAGAAGGTTGGTTGGTCTCTGCCTCTCTTTTTCTTACACAGATATAGTAGTGTGTGGAGGGATACAGGCAAATCAGTTTTTTTAAGGGATTGAACCGGATCTTGTTTCTTATGAAGGAGGGAACATTCAGATACTGGTATGCTCTAGATAAGATGTACAATGGATGCACCTAAGGAGAAAACAATATTATTAAATATTGCTAAAATTACAAGTAGAACGTTGGAATAATGGAAGTGCCTAAGAGAAAAGCAAGAAACAGGATGAATGCATATAATGGAATAAGGGTAGGGTTAGGAAGAGGAACAGAGAAATAAATGCCACGGGGCTGAGAAAATTACAGGAAGTGCAGGGTTTGTAGAACATGAAAAAAAAATTGTAAAGCAGAAAGAGAAAAGTATTAAAGAATCTAAATTGTTAAGAGTTTCTTATGTACTGACAGCGATTCCTGGACGAGTTGGTGAAGATGCCTGATGTGTGGGTGGTGAACAACCAGGAGGTGATCAAGTGGATGAGGGAACCCACACCAAACTCCCAGATGGCCAGCTTCGAGCCCTGGAAGTGCCAGCAGGTGGTAAGTGACGCTCCTTGCAATAAATGTTAAAAAAGATTTGCCCCTTTTGGCATGTCTTCACAGACAGACAGACACTTGTCTGCCATTCAAAATTTGCCCTCACCTCCAACCCTTAGTCTATATAAAGTAACTGATTATAACAAAGTTATAAATTATCACACAACTTCTCGATTGTATTACTGTATAAGCAGTCTCAATCTGGTTAATGTCTTTCAACACCTGTGCACACCAGGATAGAGTATTCAAAAATTCCTGCAACAAGATTTAATTTTTCTTGCATTTTGTCATGCTAACTGTATGGCCCAATAGGTGCCGGCTGAGGACAAGGCGTGTAGCATCCCTAAGTCTTGCAAGCTGAAGAACCGGATGTTGCGAGGTGACCGTTATCTCCACACATGCTTCGAGTGCCCTGATGTCTACCCGTGGCTCAAGAATGAGTTTGGTATTGACTTGTAAGATAAGATGACTTGAGGAAAAATGGAAGCAAAAGAAGGGAAAAAGGTTCTCCGGGAGTTTACTCTGGGAGAAAACAGAAGAGTTGCAAGATTTTTATAGTGTACCTCCCTCCCACTCCATTATAGTTGAGGAAGACCAAATTGTAGAACTGCATGCCCACCAAGGGTGGTTTTGTTAGATGAAAGTTATCATTTATTCACAGTTGAAAAACTGTAATTACTAGACATCCCTTTTATGATGGTAGCAAATGTGTTTGTACAGCTCGACACAGGCTGATCCAAGCAAGAGATTTAACAGTCCTATGACAGGCTTACTGGTGGTGTTTTAATATCTGTTCGGAACCATCACTTGTCAGACTACGTCAAACATTCATAAAATAAAGCTTGGAGCATTCAAAATTTTACTATATAATGCAATAAAATATGAAACAAATATAAAATTACATAAAGCCTTTTGCATTTGCTCAATAATTTTGAGTACGAAGAATGTGTTATAAAATCGTCAGAATAAGATTGAAGTAAATGACAGGCAACTCCCAAATCCACTTCAACTACTCCAAAGGCAATCATTTGGCCACTATCTTTAAGGTGGGTTCATACTGGCAAAACTGTTCTGCAATTTGTAAAGGATGTATACTAGCGCTCCTCACCTGTGTTATTTTCATGGTATTGAGACGTTCCTTTTTTGGGGGATTGGGAGTATATTTTTTAGTAGGTCTATACCAAGTATATTTGGGTTTGAAATGGGGATGTTGCTATGCTTAGATTAGTGTACACCCTTCTGGAACAGATCTCTAAAACTAACAACTTCATATATTTTGTTGTGGTTTCCATATACAATTTAACAGTTACCAACAGGAACTAAATTCCTCTGTTGCCTTTATCATTTGAAATATGAAACGGGCAGATATTTTCTAGTCCAAACTGCCAAAGGACGGAAGACGCGTGCTGTAAAGCACCTAACTGGTGAGAACAGCAGTGTGGTTGGTGTAAGATTATGTTGGTTACTTCCATTAAAAATACATATGGCATTTCCCCCCCTCATGTCAACTTGTTCATGTTTAACCTTTCCTTGTTTGCTGCATCCCCACTGTAACTTGTTACTGTTATTATTCTGTTGATTAAAGTTTATTTATGCAATACCTTTTGTAAATAATCTTTGTTTCTATATTAAAAAAAATAAAAAATAATAATGTTATCTTAATAAATACACTGGTTGGTTCTAGATTATAAACCCAATCTCACGTTGTGGTATGGTATGAGTAATGTATGTATTGTATTGAGAGGTTCATTTTCTAACTAAACAATATATATTATAGTCTTCCCAAGTTGATGCCTTCTTTTGATAATTACTTAAAGAATACTGTATAACAAAGAACTTGCAAGAAAAAATGGAATTCTGAAAACAAGACTTTAAAGAAAGAAAAGAAAGGTTTTAATTTATGTTCCTAGACCTAACTATTTACGACAACATTAAGATAGAGATTTTCTGAATATTGAATGGATAGGATACAAAAATGTATACCCTGGATTTATTAATAACATACTCATGGTAGCACACTTGCCTTGAATAATTACTTCTGGGTTCGGGCCCAGGCCTAGCCTTGTTCACCCAGCAGTAATTGGGAACCTGGTTAACAGATTGGCAGGTTGTGTTGAAGGGAGAAGTTGAACCTGTAAGAACAAACATGAGTTATGGAAAGGGAAAGCTCTAAGCCTGCTAACAGGCATCAGATGTTGCTTACTAATGTAAGCTGGAGGCAGACTCCATACACAGTTTCAAATGTAGATATAATAGAGCCCAGTAGACTCAGGAATTATTGATTGACAGAGGCTCAACCAGGTGAGTATATACATACATAAATCTGCCTTTCCTTAGTTCTTCAGTCTACTTTGTGCCCTCAACTTACTTAAATTAACATTTATAAAATTGATACATTCACTAACACATCTAACACTAGAAGCTAGTGTAATGAATCATTCAGAACCTTGTATATCACATATCAGACCAATTCTGGAGTATGTGGCTCCAGTGTGGAGTCCACATCTAGTAAACACAAGACAAAGCTGGAGAAAGTTTAGAGGTATGCCACCAGATTAGTTCCTGAGGTGAGAGGTATGATTTATGAGGAAAGGCTACTGGAATTAAACTACACAACACTGAAAGACAGAAATAGTTAGGAGAGACATGATTAACACCTACAAAATTCTCAGAGGAATTGATAAGAAAATTATTTAGCACGGGTGGAACACAAACAAGGGGGTACAGGTGGAAACTTAGTACCCATATGAACCACAGACTTTAGACAGAATTTTTTAGTGTCAGAGTAGTTAACAAATGGAATGTATTAGGAATTGATGTGGTGGAGGTTAACTGACGGTTGACAGGCAGGTTCAAAGAGCTGAAGCTCAACCCCAGCATACACAACCAGCCGATTACCTGGCTAAGCACTTAAATTTTAATAACCGGAGCTAATCTTTGCTACACTCCTGTACTATAAAAATGACACATCTTGGTAGCCAAAAATACTTTCCAGATGATTTGAATTGTAGCTTAGCATATGTACTTTTATGTTAACATAACTAATGAACATCATAGGCATTTTGAAAAAAATGAAGAATGCATTTTTCTGCAGTTTCAGACTCAATAATAAAAAATGCCTAAACTGTTGAAGATTCACCATCATTAATGTATTTTAAGTTAAAGACTAAGAAAGCAAGAGGACAAAAAAAATTAACACTTACTTATTAGATATTCTTTCTTCATAATCCAGGTTGTTGTCGACATCTCTCTGATTTTCCTCTTATAACAAAAGCAGAACATTAATTTACCTGAAGGAGTCAAAAATCAATGTACTGAATGACCACATTACCAAAATAATCAATATTACAACACAATAACAAATTTAATTAAATTATGTTATACTGGCAGTGTGCCTCTAAAGGCATTGGTCATTAATTCTGCTTGTTCAAAACATGAAAGAAATTACTAATTTCTCACAAATGACATTTGCTTATTCTCTCTTGCAGGTTAAGAAAATGTAATTATTTTAATAAAAAAACTTTACCTCAATATTACACAATTTTATGCTATTTTAACTCATTACTTTAGGTAGTAAATGAAACAACACTTCATATGCCACAAAAATAAATTTTATTCATAATATTCTCTACTTGCTAACCTAGACACTAGAGACCAAAAATAGCCACAAGATATCTGAAGATCTGAAGAACTTAAGACTGAGTAAGTTATTATTTATTCTGGCTAGAAGCAGCAAGTGGCTGTGTATGGCACAAGCAAGGCGTTAAGAAGCCAGCAGATGGCGGCACCAATGACAAGTGTAGTGCCAGCATGAAACACCCAGTGTCTGCTACAGTAAAGCATGTATGACAGAAGCAGGCTCTGTAATAGGGCAGAGAGCCAGCTATAGCAACAATGAGGCGTATGGACCATAGGAGATCAAAGTGGATGGTGCCATTATTCAGTACCACCAACCTGATTTGCAAAGCAAATCAAAACAGGGAAAGAAGAAATTTTTCAATGTCAATATTTAATGTTTTCTTTTGCATGGCTAAATGTGAGGCTCTTGTGCCATACACAGACCAAATGGCTGTCTGCACCTTCTACCTTACTCTGTGGTAATCTGACAAATAACACACTAGTTCAGAGCTTGATCAAAAACTAACAAGACGTATATGATTTTTGGCAATCTCCTTAATCTTTGATCATAAAAGCTAAACATTTTCACAGGTGTTTTTAATTACTGATCAACTCTTCATCAGACATCTTTTCAATATTTAAGCAAAAACCACATTTGTTTTATTGACTTACTCTATAACTCCATCTTCAAGATATTAATTTGGCCTCAAGGGGTCCTGTGGAAATGCTCCTTAAACTAGACACTACAGGGAAAGTGACTTAGATTGTAGTCTACTTCTCTTCTCGAGACCAATGGAAAATTAACTGACTAACAGAACCAATGCCTTCGGATATAGTTAAGACTGTATACAATACACAGACATGTGGAGCATGTCCATAGGTCTAATTGTAATGAAATCACAATCAAAATATTTGTATCACTGAATTGTATCAATCATAATTCATTGCAATTGCGTTCTTTAGAACAAAATGTATCGTTTAGCAGAATCACACGTATCTGAGACTCGGTAATAAAAATTTTGATTATCTACACATCAAACCTTATTAATATACAAGATAAATTTAAAATTCTATATATTAAAAATATTGTTACAATGGAAAAAGATTGTATACTGTATATATCTGGATCTCAGACAGATGAAATAATGCTGTCTTATCCTGCATGCCATCTTATGACATGCACTCATAGTTGACAACTCATACAAGTTGGTTAGCTTGCCAGTGGTCACAAGAAGAGAGTCAGGAGAACCTTCTCGTCTCCCAGATGCATACACAGAAATCACAAGTATCAGGTAACATAGGACCTTATAGCTAACAAGGAGAGACGATGCTCTACTGATTTATTAGGTTTGGGCCCGTTCTTCACATTTTGATGTGTTTAACATTAGTTGCATAAGGGTTGCAATATAAATAAGTGAACACAGTTCAGCGTGTCACATAACATCACTCAGAGGGGGACTTTTTATATGCTGAGTGACAACTGACTCATTTCTTATTTTGAATAAGCAGCATTTCATGCTGCAATGTAAATTATTTGGTTTCCTTTTCTACCATTTCGATGAAACCTAACTGTGTGAATGCACCAAAAATTAAATATATCTGGCTATCTTCATAAAGAAATCTGGATACAGAAATGAATCATTACCTGTTTGTTTGTAGAGTTACAATATTAAAAATGTAATATCAAATATATGATCCAAAATTGAAGCAGAATTTATTTTTATTACAGTATACTGTTATGTACATTAACACACAGATGTATACCAGTACAGCAGGTAAATAATTATCAAGTGCAGATAAAAGTAGGTAACTCATTACTCAAGATGCAAAAGCAAGCGCAGAGTTGAGTAGCAAGGCAACCTGATGGGCTTTACCTGGGAATTTCTTATGATGACCAAGCAAAAGAGAATGGCTTCAGGAAAGCATAGCAAATATATGGATGACAAATAATAGAGGCAAAATATTTAAAGCCAAGATACAGCTCTACACTACATTATGGATAGTGACTGAAGCCCCCAAACACAAACTTTTAAAATGCTGAGTGGAAATAAGACTTTACACCACAATTACCACGAGAGGCTGATCACTATTTTACACCGGATATAATACAACAAATATAAACTTTTTGACTGCACTTGAATGAGTGAAACTTGTTTCTCGGACAAAATATGAGATTCCCTTCAAGTCCAAAAAACAAACAGGTATGAATTGCATTTCTCTCTAATACAGTAACATAATGGCAAAGAAATGCTTGTGTTTTACGTGTGAAATCACCCGAGGGGAAATTCTTTCCCATAGTAATGATGAATACTAAGTACAGTTGTCCTTATTACACATATGTGTGTGTATTTAGACACTTAAAAGACTGATATACATACATGTGTGTGAACGTAACACTGGTAAGACTGACACACACAACTTACACCAGTAGGAGTGAAGCACACGTATGAACTTTACACCGGTAGGACTGAAACACGTGTGTGAACTTTACATCGGTAGGACTGACACACACACGTGTGTGAACTTTACACCAGTAGGACTGAAACAGTCTTGAGTGAACTTTACACTGGTAGGACTGAAACACACGTGTGTGAACTTCAGACTGGTGCGAGTGATCCATTTGTCAGCGTTACAACAGTGAAAGCGACACGTGTGTGAACTTTACACCAGTAAGAATACTACACTTAGTTTATCATGTTCTTGACACACATAAGAATGATACACTTACGAGTGTGCACCCAACACTGGTTCACTTACATGTGTGCACTTAAGACTAATAAAACTAATACGCTGTATGGACCTACAGCACTACAACATTTTATTGAATATAAGCCCTTAAAATATAGATCCAACTCCATTTAAATAATATTTCTTCCACTTACCTAAAGATATATATTAATATATGTTATTAATCTATCAGTTATTGTTCATAAGAAATACATGTACCATGACTTTAAAGTTTGCACCAAGATTTGTATTTACATAGAAACAAATATGCAAACATTGTTGGTGCAAGAAATGTTTATTGAACAACCAAACCACATGCATAATTCTTGAATGTGTTTTAAACGGTGTTGTTGGTAATGCCGGGAATGAGATGCTGCATGTGCCGGCCAACTACGAGTGAGAAGTGGAATATGCGACGCTGACGGCATTATGCGTGACTGTTAATGAGGTATAAGTCATACTCATGAAATACAAATGCTTTATACAGCATTGATGACAATGGATGACCTGGGGGAGTATTCAATGGTGACTGCAAGAGGTATGGCATTCCCACTCTCCTCTGGTTGGCTACACATTCAACATTTTAGAGAAAATAATTTGTTTACAGCTAACCCAAGTCATACCTGACTATGCAGAGGTTAAGAACTTAATGTACAACGAATATGAATTTTAGAATTAAACATATTGGTAAACAACAACCTAATCACATCAATCACTCTCTCATGCTCATCAACACACTAAACTTCCAGAGTTAAAATACTGCTCTGAGGAAGTGACTGCAATTTCAGTATAGCAATTGTATTTCACAGTTCCCTATCTATCGCAATTCCATGAATGATTTTATACACACATTCATTACCACTTCACTATCTCATCCCTATTAAAATATCCAAAAAACAACATGGGTATTTTGTTGAAAAAGATTAAGAGCGCCAACTCTACACACACAAGAATATTCAACACTCGGAGGTCTGTGGATACCCGGGTCACAGTTAAAACATCCGGGTGCAAGTGCAGTATAATACCAGTGTACTGTCCACACCTCACTTGACCTCAAGGGTAAATTATGTATTATACACAGGTATGTATACCTCAAAAGTATGTATTGTACACAGGTATGTATACCTGAAGAGTATGTATTGTACACAGGTATGTATACCTGAAGAGAAAAGTATGTATTGTACACAGGTATACCTCAAGAGAAAAGTATGCATTGTACACATGTACATTTAAAAAGTATACATTGTACACAGGTATATATACCTGAAGAGAAAAGTATGTATTGTAAACAGGTATGTATACCTGTGTACAATACATACACAGGTATACAATATATACCTGAAAAGAAAAATATGTATAGTACACAGATAGTATACCTGAAGAGAAAAGTATGTATTGTAGGTATACCTGAAGAGAAATGTATGTATTGTAGGTATACCTGAAGAGAAAAGTATGTATTGTATGCATACCTGAAGGGTAAAGTGAGAATTGTATACAGATATGTATACTTAAAAGGCAAAGTGTGAATTGTACATAGGTATGTATATCTGTACACAGGTAGATACTCATTAAGATTTTAAATCTTTTTGATGGTCTAATAAAAAAAATATGGCACCTCCAAAATAATTCCAACTTCCTTGACTTGATTAAGGAAACCCTAACTTTGACATGAAACACTGGCCCTCTCTGTCATTCCCATACCTCACGTGTACAATTATAACGGCACTCGAGTCCTCCATCCTTAAAACTTACTAGCATTATGCTCTCATAAAATTGTCCATATTTGAAATATAGATATTCCATATATATATATATAAATATCATAACATAATATTACGATTTTCAAATAACCTTTCTTTGTACACGCTCGTTCAGTTGCTCACTGTGAAACTCCAAATCCTTATATCACTCAATAATGCTACAGGATAACAGCCCCAATGTGAATATAAAATTACAAATTTGGTTTAATGTTGATGGCCCAACTACAATGTTGGTGCTCCCATTTAGCATATCTCCTGTATAACGAGAAATTCACACTTGTTGCTCTTGCACTCAACAGGTGACATGAATTGTAAACACTTTATATTTTGATCTTACTAAAATGGTATTTTGGGGGGGTCTGTTTAACTAATTTGCAGGAATGTTTATAGTCCTTCCATTAAATACTTTTTATAGAACAAACCACTTTGAGATTCTACCTCGGCCATCCATATTTGCAGGACAAGTATAGTGTCGTGATACTGTTGTGTTCTTCACCCACTCGTGCTCCTCTACCTATGAGAGCTCAAAATACATATGTACATTAAAAATCCAAAGTGAACAATTACGTAAACAGTACAAGCATAAACATAATTAAGAGAAAATTCTTTTTTTTTCCAGAAGTGTTTATAATCTTTCATACGAGTTGAAGAGACTTCTAACTTTTAGGTAGCATGATATCAAACCACAAACCTTGTGCACCATCTGGTGCACTATTTCATAATTTATCTTTGCTTGCGAAGAGATAAATGGTTAATAACACAAATGATTATTTTTACAAGCCTGCCATGTGTAACTCATAATTCGTGTCAACACCGGCCATCAGTGGGTAAAATTCTAGGTTTATCAGAAAGTTATAACTTGATGCATGGCTTATATTCAATAACATATGGCAACACTGCTTAGATGAACATACTTGCATGTGTACAATGATAAGATCTAGAGAAACTAAAATATCATGGGGTGAATATCACTACACAGCTTAATGACCATGTCTGCTACAGCAGGTCAGAAGGGTGATGGAGCCTGACTACTACAGTTGAGCAGGGAGGCAACATGTCCCTGTCTGCTACAGCTGGGCAGGAGGACAACATGACCTTGTCTGCTACAGCTGGGCAGGAGACAACGTGACCATGTCTGCTACAGCTGGGCAGGAGGCAACGTGACCATGTCTGCTACAGCTGGGCAGGAGACAACGTGACCATGTCTGCTACAGCTGGGCAGGAGGCAACGTGACCATGTCTGCTACAGCTGGGCAGGAGGCAACGTGACCATGTCTGCTACAGCTGGGCAGGAGGGCAACATGTCCCTGTCTGCTACAGCTGGGCAGGGGGGCAACGTGACCATGTCTGCTACAGCTGGGCAGAAGGACAACATGATCTCGTCTGCTACAGCTGGGCAGGAGGACAACATGACCTTGTCTGCTACAGCCGGGCAGGGAGGGCAGCGTGACCATGTCTGCTACAGCTGGGCAGGAAGGCAATGTGACCATGTCTGCTTCAGCTGGGCAGGACAACATGAGCATGTCTGCTACAGCTGGGCAGGACAACATGACAATGTCTGCTACAGCCGGGCAGGACAACGTGACCATGTCTGCTACAGCTGGGCAGGAGGACAACGTGACCATGTCTGCTACAGCCGGGCAGGACAACGTGACCATGTCTGCTACAGCTGGGCAGGAGGGCAATGTGACCATGTCTGCTACAGCTGGGCAGAAGAACATGATCTTGTCTGCTACAGCTGGGCAGGACAAAATGATCTGACTGAACAGACTTGACATGAGAAAAGTGAAGTTCGGCTCTAGTGAACAGGCAGAAGAAGAGAGACATCTCATTCTTAAGGAGACAAAACTAAAAGGAAAGAGCCTGGTCTGAGTGAACCGACACAAGTAGCAAGCCAGGTCCTGGTGCTCCAGAGATCTAGGCCGGCTCACTTCACTACACTACTAATATAGGAATGTTTGTTTTACAAAGGTACATGAATCAATCAGGTAAAAATTAAAATCCACACAAAAAATTATAAAATCCTCATGAAACTTAAATATCTCTACTTGTTAAATATACAACAATACACTTGGAGCACAAGATGTGGATTTAAACAAAAATGAAGTTCTTAAATTCTAATTCGAGGAAAATAACGATAATGACTATTTCCAACACAGTACAGAAGATGGCGGTGACATACGGGATCATGTGAGGGGAGGGGGCGAGATGCAGCACACACACACACTACACCACCTATTATGCACTCAAGGTTTGGGGGATTTCCTATGCATGTGGCCTAAGCTTATGATGCAAGTCTCAGCAACTGACCTAAGCTTATGATGCTCATGTTAAAATCTGACTGAAGCTTATCATGCAAATTTCAGAATATGATGTGGATGTTTGGCACAATGTCAACTATCACAAGCAATGTTCAAACACACCATTGCTCAATATGTACACATCCTCCATGAAGGAGCAAATTGCAGCTATTAAAAACAAATGAAAAAAAATCATGTTTATTCTGCAAACTATGAAGCAACAAAATCCTTTACAATCTAATTAAACACCATTATAAACCGTGTGCATATCACAATGCTTCCACTGGTCTTCTCTTTCACATATACTCATTTCTTAGGCGGGACATCTTGCAACATCTAATTTATGCTCTATACTTCACGAAGGGTGGCTAAATAGAAACTGCATTACTAGGAAAAATCTCGCTCTCCTTTTGCAATTTGTAACTCTTGTGGAAGATTTATGTTTGGAGTGCATGTAGCCACCGCTGAGACAATTTGTATCACATCATATACTGTAGGTCAAGAGAGAGAGAGAGAGAGAGAGATAACTATGACGTCTGGCTGAGAGTAAGGATAGCCGGGTACTGCACGCCTCACATTACCTCTAGTGCTGTCAGCTACATAATATCTGGCCTACCCAGGTATCTGTTTCATTGCATTTTTTAATCAATATCCTGATTATTCATTGAATCTAAGCATTGATAAATTTGCTTAATAAAAAATATCAAAATTTCTTGTTCTTGAATTATAAGGAGACTGATTAACTGCATCTTAGAAAATGGTGGTTTGGTGTGAGCTGTAAGCTTCTATGTCATTTTAAGGGTTAGCTGTGGTACAGTATTGAGAAACGGCTAACAGGGATGTAAGTAATGTGGAGTGGTTTCTGCGACTATTATGAGGTCTAAGTACGTACGCTCCTTCACAACTGGAAAGGCCTGCCCAGTGATTCTATTGTGCAAATGGGCTAAATGACAGAAAAAGGCAATAATATCATATATATATATAGGTACAATGCATGTATATGACCCTCATACTAATGTATCATGCATGTTACACTATGTTTGTAAATCCAATGCAGAAGAAATACACAGCTGTGGGTGCACATTTTCTACTTTTTCTGCAAACACTGTCATTAAAATACCAAGAGATTCCTCAAGTGCCACATATGAATGCTTAGTTTCTACAAAGCACTTGCTAGAAATGACTAATATATAGCTGGTGATGACGACACCTACCAAACACAATACACGTGGCCCAAGAAGGTTATACTGCTGGCTACACGCGTGGCCCAAACAGTACCGGCGCTCACACACACACACTCAACGCCTCAATAACTCTGCTGTCAAGACAACTTTCATAACCTCTGTTGCATTAACAAAAGGTTCAACCACTAGGCAACTAATGTTAGTAAGAGGTGAAACCTGCAGACAATCACCTGCCTCAACTACAAACCTGCAGACAATCACCTGCCTCAACTACAAACCTGCAGACAATCACCTGCCTCAATTATAAACCTGCAAACACTCGCCTGCCTCAACTACAAACCTGCAGACAATCACCTGCTTCAACTACAAACATGCAGACAATCACCTGCCTCAACTACAAACCTGCAGACAATCACCAGCCTCAACTACAAACCTGCAGACAATCACCTGCTTCAACTACAAACCTGCAGACAATCACCCGCCTCAACTACAAACCTGCAGATAATTACCCGCCTCAACTACAAACCTGCAGATAATTACCTGCCTCAACTACAAACCTGCAGACAATCGCCTGCCTCAACTACAAACTCACGCCAAGTGTGAGCAACAGGTTAACAGTCTTACTAGAGAGGTGCAAGTTCTACACCACACACTGCCCTCAGGTGTGGGCTACAGGTCACAGTGCCAGCAGCAGCAGGTGTGGGCTACAAGTCACAGTGCCAGTAGCAGCAGGTGTGAGCTACAAGTCACAGTGCCAGTAGCAGCAGGTGTGAGCTACAGGTCACAGTGCCAGCAGCAGGTGTTAGCTATGGGTCACAGTGCCAACAGCAGGTGTTAGCTATGGGTCACAGTACTAGCAGCAGGTGTGGGCTACAGGTCACAGTGCCAGCAGCAGGTGTGGGCTACAGGTCACAGTGCCAGCAGCAGGTGTGAGCTACAGGTCACAGTGCCAACAGCAGGTGTTAGCTATGGGTCACAGTACTAGCAGCAGGTGTGGGCTACAGGTCACAGTGCCAGCAGCAGGTGTGGGCTACAGGTCACAGTGCCAGCAGCAGGTGTGGGCTACAGGTCACAGTGCCAGCAGCAGGTGTGAGCTACAGGTCACAGTGCCAACAGCAGGTGTTAGCTATGGGTCACAATACTAGCAGCAGGTGTGGGCTACAGGTCACAGTGCCAGCAGCAGGTGTGAGCTACAGGTCACAGTGCCAGCAGCAGGTGTGGGCTACAGGTCACAGTGCCAGCAGCAGCAGGTCAAAGTGCCAGCAGCCGGTGTGAGCTACAGGTCACAGTGCCAGCAGCAGGTGTGAGCTACAGGCCACAGTGCCAGCAGCAGCAGGTGTGAGCTACAGGTCATAGTGCCAGCAGCAGGTGTGGGCTACAGGTCACAGTGCCAGCAGCAGTAGGTGTGAGCTACAGGTCAAAGTGCCAGCAGCAGGTGTGAGCTACAGGTCACAATGCCAGCAGCAGGTGTGAGCTACAGGTCACAATGCCAGTAGCAGGTGAATTAGAGGTTACAGTGCCAGCAGCAGGAGTGACCTACAGGTTACAGTGCCAGCAGCAGGAGTGACCTACAGGTCACAGTGCCAGCAGCAGCAGGAGTGAGCTACAGGTCCCGTGCCACCAACACAATGCCACCAAGAAGTGTGTATGTGACACATCACAATGCCACCAGCAGGTGAGAGAGAGACAAGAGACCAGCCTAAGCACCACTATAAGGTGTGCAGCAAGAGACTTGGGGTAATAGTCTGTTTCTAACAGATATGATAGTGAGAGCCCAAAAATGCCAATAATTGTGACCTGTAGACTGTGAACCGCCATTAATAAATGTGACTTTTGGGCCACAAACCGTCACCAGCAAACCTAACCTTAACGTGCCACCTACTGCCGTTACAGCAATGACTTGCCATCAAAGGAAAAAACACAAGACAGATTCACTGCCCCAACCATCATAACACTTGGGAGCGATACTGGCAACATTATTCCTAGATGGCAAATTATCCTTCTGTAAGCAAGAAGAGGATGTCTCTAGTGGGGGGGTCATACTGCAAGCAACACTGACAGCTTACAGACAACTGACAACAGTAACATAAATGGCCTACAGGAGACCAATTACCAGTGGCCTATGTAAGACCCTGTCCTGTCCTGTTTACAATGTCCATGACTGTGTGAGGTAATCCAACATCAGCCTCCAGGTGTCCATGTGTTAGCTCTATAAGTAGGTGCACAACCACTTTCCTTACTTTACTTAAGCCGTATCAGGTACTTGTTTGGTGATCTAACCCAGTGAGCAGACCACATAGGCTAACTGTATTTCACAGTTACATACTACGGGTATTGCCGCTGTGTTGCTGGCACCTCAAGGATAATCAACCACGAGTGGCTTCTAAACCTTCAAGATATAGTCAAAATACCCTAACAGGGGAAGCTAAATCAACTTTGCAAAGCTTATCAACAAAATATGATATGATTATTGCCAGTAATGAACAGGGAAAAGTTACTGTATTTACAAATAAATTAATCTACATCCCAATGCAAACTGAACGCATCACGTATTACAGGATCAATAGAATATCCTAGAATCAAACATAACAATGTGTAATGTTGCATACACATGCTTAAATCTCTAAACGTATAATATCTAGCAAGCAACATTTAGGAATCCACATAGTCTTATCAATACCATTTTTTTTGCAAAGACAATTGTACTTATACCAGCACCTTAAATCAATAAAATTCCCCTGAAACTTGACATACACAAACTTGTGTGTGTAGGTCATCACAGGCTACTAAGACTGGACACAAATATCAAATAGGAAGAGGTACTAAAACTTGCCTTCCGTTACTAGCCTCCACCAACTGTACAACACTCCTCAACGGGAACCCATCATCATCATCATCATCATCATCACGGCAACTGGTCGTCTCTTCATCTCCCCCAACGATGGTGTTGCTTGTTACTTGACAGATTACTCCAGTTCCCAAGAGTACTCTACAAACCTGCAGTACACACTAAGCAATCCTGCAGTACTTACTTTGCAGCAAAACAACCCCCAGGTCATTAAAGATAAATTATTTGTGCTTTACAGAAATGTTCAATAATCTCCAAACATTTCTTTTTAAGCAAGAGTTGTATGATCTGGCACCTATAATAAAACAAAATATACTACAATTACATGTAGTTAACAATCAATTATCATATTCATAAACATTGTTTAAAAAATAATCTTTGATTCCTATTGGAACAACAAACAAAAATGCTTAATAGCCGTTCCTTTGGATTCTGGGAAAAAACTACTTGACGCACATCTCTTCCGTTTCTTAAAATAAATAAGCATCACTATCCTTAACCAACTGTGGCACATTTCTCATACAGGAAACGCCAGCTAAATCTCTACATAAAATTTGTATAAAATCATTATTTTCCAAATAAAAAGGAAAGTTAAGACTTTGGTAAAGACATTAAAAATAAAATCTAATTTTGACTATCACCGTGGATACTCTACCCAATGTGTGAGGCGTCCTAATACGAACACACAAATCACCTTTTAAAAATCACTTAGATATATACTTTAAGCCACTCTCAGGCTGTCTTCTAAATGTACTCAAAGTTACCATCACTGCTTGACACTGACAAAATGTTTAGCATATATTAACTCGAAAGATTCCTTTCTTCAGAAAGGAATTATGAATTATCTAATTATTTGTAATATGAGAAAACATTTTATCATATGCAGTCAGTGACAGAACTGATATATGACCTTCAGAAAGCAGCCAGTTTTTTTGTTTTTTAGTAATTTTTCATACAATTTTCCAGTATCTTTGTACCCAGAAAATGCAAAGCAGGAAATACATGGAACACAAATATTCTCACTGTGTGTCTCCACAGCTCATGTACATTATTGGCTTCCACAGGTTTCAACAACCCTCTTGGTCCTTCAAGTACAAGAGCGTTAAATATTATATATTTACCAATTGGTTGACTGGAAAATGTAACATGTTTCAGCATTAACAGTTCCAAGTCATGTACTCTACACGCACACATGGTAGCACATAATTAGGAGAAAGACTTAATCCCATGTATCTCACTGTATACCTTTTTTTCAGTGGTGTACTCTAAGGATACCTATGCTGGTACAGCATATTATTATTACAGTACACCAAACCCTCTCTCTGTGGCCCGTCACCTTCGTGGGTTTCTCAGTTTTATGACGTACTCTGGTCAAAAATATAATCTGATCACTCTGAAGATCTATTCTCTTCGCGCTCTTTTTGATCGGCCAACATGTGCAGTCTCCACCTCGCCCATGCCTCGCTTCTTGGTCATAGTCACCTGCAAACAAGTGATCATAAGTAAGCTACAAAATGAATGACAACAAGTTATGGGAACCTACCAAACACACTGAAGAATAAAAGGCTCAGAGACTCTCTTGTCATCTTGACAAATAAGCATCATTTTGAACCTTGATCACCATTCACGCATCTTGTGGACAATATCAAGATCTAGCACAAAAATAACATTTCGAAACTAGGCAAACCTCTGCCTATCTGAAATTTCATACTTTTCCCAGCCACTGCTTACATTCCAGGCACTTAGTGATCCATGCCCATGTCACATAAGTGACGTGAATTTCATTCACTTGGGCACTTGAAGACTCGAACTCTCAACCCCACAAGCGTGAGGCAAAAGCTCTCCCTTTAACACCACACACATGGCTCCAATAGAGAAGGTTTCAGAGGCTACAAACCACTGCCCATCTCAAATTTTATACTTCTTCGTAGGTGTGGATCACTAAGTGCCTCTTACCTAAGCAGTGGCTGGGAGAAGTATAACATTTCAGATGGACAGCAGTTTGCTGCATCTGAAATCTTCTCTATTGGAGCCACCTGTGTGGTGCAGAGGTAGAACTTTTGCCTCGCGCTCGTGGGGTCGAGAGTTTGAGTCTTCAAGTGCCCAAGTGAATGAAATGTTTATTTCTACTATACAGCAGTGAATTGACAATTTACAACATGTACATATTTAACAATCATCATTTATGTGAATCATAATAGCTTATATAACTTGAAGAGGGGTGATTGTGTCCATATAGCAAACATAGCTGGAGGTCTGTCATTGTCAGGTGACTGGGAGTTATGTATGGTTAGTAATGGTGGTTCTGGGCTCTCACTCAATTGTTCTAATTTGTTCCCCAGTCACTTAGTATAAAGTTACAATGAGGATGTCTCAAAGTTCAGGGATTCACGAGTGATAAATTAATACAGTAGCATCTAAAAAATCTGAAGCACATCATTTGAGATTTGTGTGAAATCTGAATTTCCCCCAGCACCAGAATGCCCCTTTTTTTGGGTTATCACCAAATTTTCCACATTTTTCAGATGACTGTGCTTTGATAGATAGCCCAGTCGATAGAGCATCGGCCTCACATGCGTCAGGTCCATAGTTCGAGCTCCATACAGCCCAGGTGAATGGAATTTTCCCACTCTCTATGGTATAATTTCACAACGTGAATTTAATTTCAATCTATCATATTATGAACAATTACCAGGAAAACCTGTATGTAAAAAGACTTCACCACATTTCACTATTCCTTCCCATGCCTCGGCCTCAAAACCACCTTTCCAGGGTGAACAAAACACTACACAACCTCAAAATGAAAACGAGGCATAGAATTTTGTTATAAATACATTCAATGGCTTTTGCAAGGCTCGAACCGTTTCTCCCAGTATTGCATTGATCTCAGTGTTCAAAGTAAACAGATAATCCTGGATAACCCACTACATATCCGTGTGCAGGGCATGCTCTCGTCAGGGCTTGCGCAGGGATGGTAGGCAGGAGTCAATTAAGAGGTTTACAGCAGATGCTCACCCTTTGTAAGTGTCCTTGCATTGTGAGTGGAGTTTTGAACTCTCAATACCTCTCAGCAAGTCATTAGCCTGTAAATGATACTGTATATTCAAGCTCATCATAGGTAAATTTGCTTCCTTTAACTTGCGAGGGATAGGAAAAGGTCATCGGCATTAACATTTTGCCTCACATTAGCTGTTTTTTCCAGGGAAGGTTGGGAGGTAGGTAGGTGTTTATCAATGCAAGTATTCTTGTCACTGCTATTTAAAAAAAAAAAAAGGAGAAATAAAGGAATGTAAATTCATTGTCTAGTGAATTTTCATAGCCCACAATTAATTCATACTATCTTTTTGATGATGATAACTTTAGGTAACCTAACCATGCAATTTGTCAGGTACATTACAATAAGTTTTGAAATGCAGGAAACTTCAACACTTTTATGACAATAACTGTGCCTGCAACGTATGAGGCTGGATGTTAGGTTATGTGCCATAAGGTATCCTCTGCTTGCCTTTTATCTTTACAACAATCATTTAACACAATGTATGCTGACCTGGGACTGTGCTGTCAACTGAAGCGATATAGCCTGTGAATTTAGTTTATCAGCTAGGAGTAAGTCCCTCAGTCCACGCATCTTTGCTGATGCCAGTCTTACGGGTGGCCAACGGTGCATCATCTCGCTTGGATCAATGTCCTGAAATATAAAATCATCAATACAATACACATACTCAAATATTACATCAAATAGTATATGGCCGCAGTTATCAAGAACTCAAGATTTTACCTGAAGTTGCACAAATTTGTGTAGGTGGTAAAGATGATAATTTGACTAGTTGTTACTCAGGAGGAAGTTGTTAAACAAATAGAATAATTGAAAGCTCGACAAAATTCTCAGGGCCAAAATTAGTATTTACTAGGATCCTCTAAACCCTCTATGAGAATGAATCCCAAACATTCCAGGGAATAGAACCCTGACAGTGCATGGGCAGAGCTAAGGGGCATACAGCGAAGAAAACCTTGTGTACCTGCAGCTCCAAGTGTCCTTATACTCTAGGCTCACACAGTACGTTTGTGCTGTGTAGGCCTAAAAGAACTCTACGACTGATGACACCAAGTAGTTTGGCACTATATCAGCATTGTAGCTTCAGGAAGCCAAAAGGGGCTTCAGAAAAGAAAAACCCAGAAGAGAAGTGTTGGCAGCCCCCCCCCCTCTGGTACTGGTGTGTAGGCCATGATGTACTTAGCCTATCTGGACCTGGTTGCAAATCTAGAGTAAATTTTTAAGAAAGGGTACAGATCACGTGTGTTGAACTATTAGACAATTAGCTTAATGTGAAAAAAAACAGCGTTGAATGTAATGAAATGCCATTTTCTGGGTGAGACCCGTAGGCTCCCCGGAGCTATCCAGGCTGATATGGATATATTAGATTTTTGGCATCGGTCAACGTGCATGGAGTTCTAGGCCTACTGGGGACCACGAGCCAGAACCTGGCCCATCAGCTAGAACCAGTGTCACATCAGCCAAGAAAGTCTGGGGCTTCCCCTTCCCCCTCCTGGGGAAGGGGAGGGGGGGGGGGGGGGTGATTGCGCAACCAGGGAAGCGGCAAAGTGATGACGTACTGGTAATACTAGTTTGCGTGTTTTCATTTGGGGAGTTCTGTCTCGTTCGGCTCTTTTTAGCAATGTTTTCACCAGAATGGGTTTGTTTGAGGGCACTTACTTTTCTGGGTGCCTGACCCGGTCGATGGCAGACATAGAATGCTTCCAATCACACTGAGGTTTCTATAAGCCATTGCTCCTTGTGCCTCTCTGAGGGGGCCAGATTCTGGCTCATGATCCCCGGTAGGCCTAGAACTCCATGCACATTGACTGATGCCAGAAATCTAATATATCCATATCAGCCTGGATAGCTCCCGGGAGCCAACGGGGCACCCCCAGAAAAAGACAATCGTGAAAAAAAAGATTGCTTAAATCGATGAATGCAATAGCCAGTCCTGAAACACACATAAATGATTCACATGTTTTGAATAAGGGCTTCTTGTGTTTACCAAATTTACTCTCAATTCTTTCCAGCATGTTTAAAACAGTCCATAATGGAAAGGATTATGACATGATATATCGTGACTTCAGCCGTCTTTGATTGCCGCCTCCAAATGACTCATTAGAAAGATAGCGGTGCATGTTATTGGGGAAGTTATCCTCATCTGGATTTAGGGTACGGTTATTTCAAATTAAACAAAGTATTAGCAGAAATGAAGTCAAGTCCAAGTGGTAGACCGTTGCTAATGTATCACTTGATTACCAGGTACTGTATATGAATGTTTTAAACAAAAGACTGAACACCATCATTAGCAAATTTATAGATGATACAGAAATAAGGCAGGAAATAAATTCATAAGATGACAAAGTCATTACAGAATAATTTAATAGGCATTTAAAATATAAGATTAGCAGATGTCATTTAATCTGACAAATGTAAGGTTCTGAGCCAAGGCTCAGAACCTTAAGAGTTACCTTACCTTACCTCACTTAGAGTATAAGAGTTACCAGATATAAGCTGGACAATGTTGAAATTAGCAAATCTGAAGGCAAAAAAACAAAAAAATATCTGAGAGTAATGGTTAGCAGGAACCTTAAGTCAGAAAATCAATGCAAATATTTAAAACAAGGCAAATGCAATACTGAAATTCACATCTAGAAATACTAGCAATGAGACATCTAAGGTTGTTCAGGTATTTTACTTGGCATTGTTAGGCCCTGTTTAGATAATGCAGTTATGATCATCGCATTATAGAATGTATAGGAATTCACTTGAGCGTGTACAGAGAAAAATGACGATTAATTTCAGGACTTAAGAAACCTTTCATATCACAAAATTAAAAATCTCAATTTATGCTCTCAAGAAACATAAAGAATATGTATACAAATGAAGTATACAAACAGATGAAAAGGTATAACAAGAGATATTAATGGGATGCTAAATATATCAACAACAATGACAGACTAGTTACCCACCTCCTCTGTAATATTAATGCAGTCAGTTGCCATGTTTCCATTCTGGTCTTGCGAAGTCCTGGCTTCTGCTGCAGACTTTTCCAAAATTGGAGGTTCTTGTACGTCACTGATATCTGCTGATAACAAGGAAACATTTGGATGTCTAAGCATGGGAGGTTCTTCATACGAGATTACGATTATGAATACCATAATAATAATAATATAAGGAGGGGCGTTAAAAGCTCATTTTGTTGTACAAAGGAGTCATTTTGCAAAAGTAATTAAAACAAAAGGCAGAGCTCATATAGAGTAGCAGGTCAAACCATATATATTTGGACAATTCTTGCAAGAAGTTATCACAAGTTGATATGGGAGTTACCGGTGTCAGACCACTCCTTGCTGACACTACCAGAGAAACAGCATCTAGAGCAACATGTCAACCTTAGATATGAAGCCTTGTACTTCATGCTGGTCTCAGCCAGAGAGCAAGCCATGCAATATATACAAACATCAGTATCGTTTGGCAGTCACTTTGATCTGGTCTTGGTTATCAAGCTAAATAAAGATTTCCGTAAGCAGTAAGTATGGCATCAAAATTGATCTGCATGAAGCATGTACAGTATTTAATATGCAGCAAAGCACATCAATGAGACAATTTAGTTAAGTAAATATGGGTTATGGAAAGTGCAAGTTATTCCATAAACTCTAGGTTTATTTACACTACTTACAATATAGCAAAAATTTGCTGATGATAAGTATTTCCCTGTGGAATACCAAGGTTCAGCAAATGAATTTGACTTATCATGAGGGAACCTTGTCAATTTATTGCTGAACCTGTATCTACAACTCACAGGGACTGGGAACCTGACACTTTCAACATGCTATTTCCAGTAATAAACTCATCAACTCATGGGAAACTATGGGGGTATCCTTCAAAGACACTTGGAATCTAGTAATACATCAATAAGTGCATGCACTTGTATGTTGTCAGTATATGTATGTACAGGCATACCTCAGAATACGATTTTAATCCGTTCCTGGAGACGCCTCGCCTTCCGAAAACTCGCATTCCGAAGTTAATTTCCCCATAAGAAATAAAGGGAAATGAATTAATCCGTTCCTGACTACCCCAAAAACCCCACATCAAACTAAATTTTTATACCTAATTCATCTAAATAAACCTACAAAAGTATGTTCCAGTTATTACTTACCTTACTGTCGAGTGCTGTAGGCGTATGGAAGATGGTGAGGAGGGGGGAGTAGGAGAGGAGTTAGTGTTTGGAAGGGGAGTCCCCTTCCATAATCACATCAGGCAGTGAGGACCTTTCTGGTGTGCTCTCCCTGGGACGTTTAACCTGAGTGCCACTAGGTCCTGGTTGAGGTTCACTGCTCGATTTCTTCACCAAATATTTGTCCATGAAAGCTTGCTTTTCCCTTCTTCGCAAGCTCTCTCTGTAGTAAGGCATCACAGTGTCATTGAAAAGATTAAGACAACGGCCTACTACAGTTTTGTCTGGGTGAGTGTGTTCAATAGTTGTTTGAATCTCTTCCCACATCTGACACACCTTCTTCATTACTGCAGAAGGGACATTCGCTGGTGCTGTTGCCACCACCTCCTCCTCCACTGCAGAATCATTCGCTGCTGTGTTGGCTTCCTGTTCCTGTTGAAGGGCTAGGAGTTCTTCGGTGGTCAGTTCTTCGTTGTGTTCTTCCACCAACTCCTCCACATCATCACCATCCAATTCCAAGCCCATTTTCTGGCCTAGACTAACAATTTCCTCAACAATAGGCGCATCATTTATAGGCTCAAACCCCTCAAAGTCTAGTTCTCTCACACCTTCAGGCCACAATTTTCTCCAGCCAGAGATCAGGGTTCTTTGAGTCACTTCTTGCCAGGCTTTGTCAACGAGTTTTAAAGCACTAAAAATGTTAAAATGCTCTCTCCAGAACTCTTTGAGGGTGAGGTTTGTGGCTTCAGTCACTTCAAAACATTTCCGGAAAAGTGCCCTTTCATACAGTTTCTTAAAATTCGCTATGATTTTCTGGTCCATAGGCTGAATTAGAGGAGTGGTGTTAGGAGGAAGGAATTTAACTGTGAGGAATTTATTGCATTGAGGCATCAAATCATCTTCCAAGCCTGGAGGATGAGCAGGAGCATTGTCAAGGAGAAGCACGGCTCTGAGTGGCAATTGTTTCTCCTGCAGATATTTTTCTATGGCAGGGCACAGCACTTCATTCACCCACTCCGAAAAAATAAGCCTAGTCACCCATGCTTTTTTATTAGACTTCCACATCACAGACAAACGGGTTTTCTGCACATTATACTGTTTGAAAACCCTTGGATTTTCAGAATGATACACTAGCAAGGGTTTAATTTTTAAATCGCCACTCGCATTTGAACACAGCACAAGCGTAAACCTATCTTTCATAGGCTTGTGTCCAGGCAAGGATTTTTCCTCCTTGGTAATGTATGTCCTCTTAGGCATTCTTTTCCAAAACAGTCCTGTTTCGTCACAATTAAACACTTGTTGCGGTAGGTATCCCTCAGCCTCTGCAAACTCTTTAAATTCGTCAATAAATCGTCCAGCGGCTGGTTTGTCTGAGCTGGCTGCCTCCCCATGCCTTGTAACACTATGGATACCACTTCTCTTTCTAAATTTTTCAAACCAGCCCCTGCTTGCCTTAAACTCTTTCTTTTCTGCATCACTCGTTGCAGGGGTCTTCTTTAGAAGGTCTTCGTGCAACACCCTGGCTTTCTCAGAAATAATGGCCTCCGAAACACTATCACCCCTCAACTCCTTGTCGTGTATCCAAATTAATAACAACTTTTCCACTTCTTCAAGTATTTGTGGTCTTTGTGTCGTTAATGTTCTTACTCCTTTTGCCACATTAGCACTCATAATCTTATCTTTCTTCTTAAGTATAGTGCATATTGTTGATGTCGCTTTGTTGTACTGCCTACAAAGATCAACAACACGTGTACCGTTCTCATGCTTTCGAATGATCTCTTGTTTCTGCTCTATTGTCATCCTCACATGAGCTTTCTGGCCTTTATCCTTACCACTGGCTTTCTTGGGACTCATGGTGAGATATATAATAACAAATTGTATAGACAAATCACCAAAAATCCAACAAAACACTGAAAATTCACGACAAGAATTGATGTGGGGGTAGTCACTGCGCGCGAGACAATGGTGAACTGAGGGGCAGCGGGGCAGAGGGGCGACGATCGCCGAACGACCACGCGCTAGGTCGGCTGTACGCGTATCAACAAACTCGCGTTCAAACTCGACTCCCGAAGTAACCATCGCCTTCCGAGACAAATTTTTGGAGTAAATACACCTCGCCTTCCGAAAATCTCGCATACAGGGACAATCGCATTCCGAGGTACCACTGTATATATGTATGTGTACATACATACATTTTATTTATAGAGGGCAACAAAGTAGGGGCAATTAGGTTACTTACCAGTAAAGACACAATCGCACCAAGAAATACCGCTACTGCCGACTCACAGAGAGAAGCACCTTCCCAGAGTACCATGGGAACCCACTGCTCGGGACACACATGTCCCAGACCTGGGACCTCTATTCCCCCAAACATCAGAGGTATACAAAGCCATCATGTCATTTTTGCCAGGCTCAGCAGGGATGATACACTGGAGTACAACCTCAGCACCTCAAGGAAATGGCAAACCCAGTTCTCTGCGAACTTGCAGACACACTACTGTCAGAGGTCACGAAGTTTGTCAACAACTGCTTCTCTGGGTTGATTCCAGACACAATTAAACCCTTCTTCTTCGGAGCATCCTTTTGTGTCCTTAAGAAGAAGGATGATGGAGTCAGACCCATTGCCATGGGGTAACACACTTCGGTGCCTTGTTGCCAGGGCAGCCGTCACAAAAATCCGCACGGAAGCTGCAACGATGCTTCGACTTCATCAACTAGGTTTTGGTGTCCCCCATGGCAGTGAAGAAGTAGCTCATGTAGCACAAGCCTATATTAAACACCTCCCAGAAAATAAGGCATTTGCTGTGGATGGTACGCCAGGCTTTTGGAGTTTAGATGCATTTACGCCTCTAGAGAATTCTATTGCGAACACAATGATACCAAAATGAAAGACCTAAGACGAGAATTAAGGTGACCAAAGTGAAAAGAATGTACACATTTTATTGCTCTTGTGCAATCCCGGGGTAACTCGCTCTCACTTTCTCTGTTTGCTGCGAGTGGTAAGCCGGGCTTTTGGAGTTTATGTACATTTATGCCTCTACATAATTCTATTGCGAGCACATTGATAGCAAATTGATAAACCTATCACAAGAATTGAGGTGACAAAGTTGAAGAGAGTATACACTTCTCAGTATTACCGCGCTCTCTAATGAAAGGCCTGGAGCTCTCTACTAGGTAACAGCGGCCTGCTTTCATCACGTCGGCGGGTGGAGCGCTCTACGGTTTTTGACATTATATACATATACTTCTGTTGGGAATTCTATTGCGAACACATTGATACCAAAATGAAAGACCTAGGACCAGAATTGAGGTGACCAAAGTGTAAAGATTGAACACATTTTATTGCTCTTGCGCGATCCTGGGTAACTAGCTCTCACTTTCTCTGTTTGCTGTGGGTGGTAAGCCGGGCTTTTGGAGTTTATATGCATTTACGCCTCTAGATAATTCTATTGCAAACACATTGATACCAAATTTAATATCTTAGGACGAGAATTGGGGGTGACAAAGTTGAAAAGAGTATACACTTTTCAGAATTATCACACTCTCCTCTCGCCCTTACGGGGAACGCCAATCCCCACCTTAGGTAGTGCGGTGTTCGCGGGCGCAAAGCGCGAAAGTGTTAAGCAAGACTTTAAAAATGTTTTCAACCAGGTAAAAGAGGATGTGGCACTGGAAGCAGTTCGAACAAACTTTCCTTGTCTACTCCCCTTCGTTTCAGCAGGATACAGTAGGGAATCGACAATGTTGTTTGGGGAACAGGTGAATGGAAGGTGTCCATTAGGGAGACCCACTTGCCCCTTTCTTTTTCTGCATGGCTGCTAAAGAGGTCACAAGCAGGTTGACCAGCGAACTCAACATCTGGTTCCTGGATGATGGCACCCTGGCAGGGACACAGGGGTCCCTTCTAGGGGATCTACAACTGGTGAAATCTAAGGGAGAGGAATTAGGACTCACCCTAAATCCACCAAAGTGCAAAATCATCTCGTCTAGCCGACCAATCATAGATGCAGTAAGAACTGTTTTGCCAGGAGCCCAAGTGATTGCTCTCACCAACAGTGTGCTGCTAGGGCCACCTCTGGGCTCAACTGCCATTGAGGTAATCCTCAAAGAAAAGCTGAACAATCTAAAAAGGCTGGAGGAAAGAATAGGGAGCTTTGGATGCTCACGATGCTTTGAACCTTCCAACAAGGTGCCTGGATTTGCCTAAGCTTACCTATTTCCTAAGGTGTGCTCCCTCCTTCGACAGTCCAATTTTAAGAGTAGTGTATATGATGCACTCCTAAAATCAATAACCATGAAAGTGTTAAACCTCTTCCTGAAAGATGACCAATGGGACCAAGCAATGCTCCAGGTTAGACTCGGGGTATAGGTAAACGCAAAGTGACACAGCATTGCCGGCATTCTTTTCCTTGACCAGTGCTACCGATGAATTAGTGAATGAGATAATACCAGAGTACCTAAGAGACTCCATTGGGATTTATGATCCCAGATTCACAGACAGAGCTGGCCAGCGAGATATCTTGCCAACTCTCAACCTTGACAAACTTTTCCAAACGACTGCAATCAGGCCAAATGGGATAATCCCATATGGAAGAATATTGCCACAGCATTGCTGGAGGAAGCTTCTGGGAAAGACAAAGCATGCCTCCTAGCTGTGCAAGCTCCCCATGCCAGGGACTTCCTGTTGGCTATCCATAATCCTGCCTTGGGCACCTGCCTGGACCATCAGGCCCTAAGTATTGCCCTGTGCTTAACAGCCCCTATCTTCACTGAACACTGGTGCATCTGCGGCTATGCGTTGGCAGACCAATACGGCAGCCATGGTCTCATCTGTCATAAGTCACAGGGAAAGATTGCCAGACATGAAGCAGTTGATGACATTATCAAGAGAAGATTAGCTACAGCTGGGTGTTCAGCACAAAGGGAACTTCAGTTGTGCAGACCTGACAACAGTCACAAATGCCCAGATGGAATCACCCTGCAGCCATGGATGATGGTAAATAGGTTGTGTGGGCTACATGTGTGCATCTACATTGGCTGATACCTATCTACTTCACAGTAGAGATGAGGGAGGTGAGGCGGCTACCTTCAGGGAGACCCAGAAAACTAATAAGTACAGGGACCTAGAACATTGTTATAGGTTCATACCTATAGGCTCTGAGACCCTGGGCACCTGAGGTAAATAAATGTGCATTTAAGTTCCTAAAGGAGGTGGGTAAGGACTCATTAGGCAAACTTAAAGACTCAGGAGTGGCCAGTTTTCTGTTCCAGTGCCTCAGTGTCGTGATACAGAGGAAATGCTTGCTGTATCTTGGACATGCCCCAACCACCTCCGAAGAGCTGGATGAAGTCTTCGAACAGTGATTGTTATGTGTGTGTGTGTGTTTTCTGTAAATATAACAATGTAATAAAATTAACATAAAAAAAGAATAGGGGTGGTTGGAGAAGAAAATATTAAGGTGTTCAGTGAGAATCCACAAGGTCTTCTCTGAATACTCTTTACCTAACCTTTAACTTTTTCTGCTTTCCGATGCAATGGATGGATGGATGGATGGATTGTAGGCTGATATATAGGGACATATATATATATATATATATATATATATATATATATATATATATATATATATATATATATATATATATATATATATATATATATATATATATATATATATATATATATATATATATTTATATTTTATTTGTGTATACTGGCAGCAGGTTTTCATTTATACATGTTTCACTGAATATAACTGCATATTCTGTATTGATTATTTTCTTGTTTAGGGCTTCTATCCCTCTGACTAGTGCTATTGCATTGTGGTTTAATTGGAATAGTATTTCTCCAAAAGACATCTTTGTCCAAGGTAAAGAAATATAAATAAATAACTGTAGAATGTATTACACTTATTATAAATTTACACAATGTTTCGAACCTACATCGTTCATTCTCAAATAATGGGAAAGTACAGGGCATATTGGATTTATACCATTAGGGAGGTCAGGTGCAGACAAATACAAATAGGCGAAGAGAAAGGCGTAAAAGTGTTAAGAATAGGGCGAAAAAAGGGTATGAAGCACATACAGACTATTCAGGTGTAGTGGGCGTGGCATGTTGAGCAGTGTCTTCTATGTTGGCATCATCACGTTCCAGTCTTGTTCTTACTCTCATGGTGGATAGAGTGAATAATTCTGTAATTTGGGTATTTATTGTGGGTGTTCTATTTTTATGTGGCTTGCTTCAAGAATTTGTAATATTCTTACATCTTGGGTTTTGTTTATTATACAAGTGTTTTTTATTCAACATTTCTGTAAGTGTAATATATTCTACAATTATTTATTCATTTTTCTTCACCTCGAACGAAGATGACTTTTGGAGAAATCCTCTTCAAATTAAACCAAAATGCAAAAGCACAAGTCAGAGGGATAGCACTGTCCACTCAACCATCAGGCCCCATAAATTTATATGTATATAAGTATGCATATATGTATGTATGTAGGTATTTATGTACGTATGTATGTATGCATGCATGTGTAACTGCAAGGTGCCCCCTGCCACCTAGAGATAACTAATAATAATGATTACATAACACTGATACCCTAGCAATGTAGTTTACCTGTGGAATCTGGATCTATGCAGGATATCTTGACATGTGACCTGACATGGGCCTCAAACTTGGCAATTGTATTGAAGAGTGCCTTAGCCCAGCCAATGTGCAGCACAGGAGTGGCTGAGCCTTCCTCCCACTCACAAATGCCATCATAGAACTCTAACAAGTACCCAAAACACTCCGGGTCCTTTAGTATAGATCTAGCCGAGATCCCAGAGCTGACAACCCTCATAATATGTGGGATTAATTCATTTGCAATTTCCAAAAACTCCTTGTAGATTTCTTCATCGTCTCTTGAATAATTATAACTGAAACAGAGCACACACCACTTTTAGCGAGATGATTTTTGCATTGTATACTGTATATCCATTTCCCTCTTTATATTATGACTATTATATATAACTTTCTATATAATGATTTCTATATATCAAGGTATTTTGCTGTAAAGATGTATATTATATATATGAAGTTAAACAGGTTACACAGTGAAATCACAATGACATGACAAATCTGCTAAGAAACGTTTAGAGGCAAATCCGTAGTGGGTTCAGGCAGACACCAGGTTGTATAATTTTAAGCATATGGTCCATGGGTTAATGCACACGTCTGGGATGACCCAGGATGCTGGTTCCACCCCATCAATCTGCTTCAAAGATTTTATCACTAAACAGCTTGTAAACTTTGTTATTATTTACTCTGCCAGAGAAATCTAAAAGCAATATTTCACCTTTTTATGCAGGGAAAAGATGTTAGCCTCACCTAGAGAAGTTAACATGGCAAAATAACAATCAAATTGTAATGTAGTGTTGTCAATTACAGCATTTCAACGATAGAAACTTACTTTCTGATAACGGAGGCAGCTCTGGCCCAATACTTGAGTGCTTGTTTATACAGCTTGTTTCTATAACAATATCCCCCCAGATAGGTGTATGGGTAGACGTGTTGGTTCTGGTAATAGCGCACTGCACTCGTGATAGCTTCTTCGTACATTTTGGTGGCTGGACATCGACCTTTTGTTGGCATCATCTCCTCCAGGTCACCTAAATTGTCTTTAGATAACAAAATAAATTAATGTTGTATACACTTTTTATGAGCTGCAACTGGCACAAATTTACTAAAGGCTTTCTGGTTCAAAACAAGTTAGCATACTTATAACTTTTTAAATGATGATTTTAAGTTTGTATTCTTCTGGTAAATCCCTCAAAACAAGGGTTTTGGCTCATCATTAATTAATGATAAAACTGGAATAAACCAAAATTGTTAAAAGCATGATTAAGACATCCAAAACCACTACAGTGAAGGGAACTAACATTCATTATCATTACCACACTTCCCACTCATGGTGTGGAGGGAAAATGGGCATAAGCCTTGAGAAAAAGACAAGTATGTAATACAACTCAAGCCAGCAAGGCACCACATCAAGTATGGCTGAAAACAATCAATGAGTATAGCTTATCTGAGCACTATATACTTACTCCTTAGGATTTTTGTGATTTTTATCATAATGTAATTTTTTCAAAATTTGATCAATGTTCTTGTTTTATGTTAATTAAGAATTATGTGGTAAAAGTGCTCCCTTCATCGCCCCCACCCAATCCCCCCACACACACACTCAAAGACACTGCTCTCTGACACTCAGCACTTTCCTGGCCGGCCCTCTCAATCTTTGTCTCTGGCTAGCCCACAACCTGTGCCTGCTCCACAACACCATTCACCGATATCTATCAACTCCTCTTGACCACTATTTGCCTCTAAATCTTGGTATTTGTCTCTTTCTATCAACTTCTTACCTAACTGATCGCTTCATCCATCTCTCATTTGTAACCTACACCAGTAAAAACAGGCAAGACAGAAATTCTCTAAGAATTCAAGGGACAGTCAGTGTCCAAGATATGATATACCAATATGGATGGAGTTACAAACAAAGGCACAATAAATAATAGAAAGGGCTAGTGAAAATAGCCCTGATATGATCACAACAGTAGAAACCAAGGTAAATTATATGAGCTCAGATGCAATATTTCCAGGGGAATATATCAAATAATAAGGAAAGAAAGAAAACAATAGGTGGAATGGCACCCCCGATAAAAAATAAAGTGGAAGTTTGAGGAACTTGAAGACGGGAATGCAAATGGAGCACTCGCTGTACGAACATAAGTGTGTCGAGGGGAGCACTCACTGTGTACATATAAACCACTGTTGTATCAAGAAGAATAACCTATTGTAATCGTGTTAAGTGACCTAACCAAAACATAGCTCAATAAAGACCACTCAAACAAATTTGGACACTTTCTAAAATTGCATGGGGGCCTTCTCTTCTGATAATCATCTTGTTGAACTAGGAGTACTTTATATTTTAATATATTATATATATTTCCTCATGTATCCAACTTTTGTCGAGCATCATCAGCCAATAAACTTACTACAAAAGCATGGGAACACCAAACCTACAGGGGTCTCAGTACAAAGCACTACAGCTCCTTATAGGGGCCCTGCTATAATCCATCTCATTTCATCATATATATCTATGAGACTCACCAATAGCCATGGGGTATTTGGCAAGGTGACCCGCATCATACAGCATCCAGAGGAGTGCCTGTTGTAGCAGCATCACTTCTTCCGAGTCTGTTGTGGCGTTGATGCCAGGGTTCATATTGGACACTATTGTGGCTACCTGTTGCAAGCCCATTAATACATCAACTTTGGTCAGACAAAGTAATCAATCATTATAAAGAACCCTCATAACTGCCGCTTATTACCTAACTTCATATTAAGTTATGTAAAACACACTGATAGCTTGATACAAATTGAAGATGAATCAGCATAGTTAATGAACACACCAATACAAAAAAAAACATTGAATGTAATGAAACACCATTTTTTGGGCGAGTACTGGAGGCTTCCTGGAGCTTACTGGGCTGAAACGTATGTATTAGACTGTGGAATCAGTCCTTCGATTGGAGTTCTTACCTACTGGGGACCACGAGCCAGAACCTGGCCCCCTCAGAGAGGGACAGGCAGCAATGACCTATAGAAACCCCTAAGTAGTTGGGAGCATTCCGAGTCTGCCATCGATCTGGTTAGGCACCCAGAAAAGTAGACTTTGAAAATTCTAAAGAAAATAAGAAAGACTTTGCTACCAAAAACCAAACTATCATGCAAAATGCCTCAATCGAAAAACAAACTAACAAGCACGACGTCACAACCGCCACCACGCCACTGTCTGTGCAGCTCCCCCCTCCCCAGGAGGGGGAAGGGGGAGCCCCAGGCCCCTGTGCCGGCCATCCAACCCCAGTTAAGAGGCTGAATATCCAAAACCACGAAAACCGCTGACAGAAGGTGGGGAAGTTGCCGGGGAGCCACCGGGACTCGCCATAAAATGGCGTTTCGTTACATTCAACGCTGGTTTTCTGAGAAGAGCCCCTCCAGCTCCCCAGAGCTACCAAACCAAAGACAAGTAAAAGAGGGACTTACCCAGGAGGCGGCCACCACTCGCATCTCAACTCGAAGTCGAGGCAACTGGCTGCAATCTGCGACCCAAAGCGACACATGCTCGACTGGGGCCAGGAACATTAACGAGGTAATAGGCTACCAGGACCCTGTTCGACAGCCAAAATCCTTGCGCCCGAATGTCAGCCCAAGACATGTTACCAAAAACGGCAGCTAAAGCAGCAAACTTGCAAACGTCATGGCGTAAGGATAGGAAAGAAGGAAAACTGGATCTATCCACAGCACGTCACTGGTCACTGATGCTGTGGCGCGCAAGTAACAGCGAAGAGCTGCAACCGGACACAGCATATGATGCACCATTGGCCTAACCAACCAAGCTTCAATGACCCCAAGGACTCCTCTGGAATGCTGCCGTCTCGCTCTTCGCCAGAAAAGGAGGAGACGGCTGCAAACGAACAAAACTACCACTAGGACCAAAAGAGCCAAAACCCCTGTGCCGGAGGAGAGCATGAAGCTCCTCGACCCGACCCCCAGAAGCCAAAGCCAACAGGAAAATAAAGAGAGCCTTGGAAAAAAATCTGAACCAAAGGGGCTACCACAAATCGAGAAGATAAAAAAAGAAAGCACCCGGTCCAAGGACCAGGATGGCTCTGAGCCGGCCTGAGGTGAAACAACGCACGAGACAGCTTGCGAAACGGAGCGGAAGTAACATCCACACCGAACGCAAGCTGGAGAGGGCCCACCAGTGCCCCATGATACGAGGCAACGGTATTCGGCATAAGATGACGGTCTTGAAACAGCCAAGAGAAAAACAGCACAACCCAAACCAAAACCGAATACATCCTACGAAGAAACAAAAAGTGACAAAAGGACCGCCAGTTAACTTCATACTGCCGCCGAGACAAAGCACGCAGGAGGGACACCATCAACGAAGGCAACCTGATCACATACAGGTGGTGATAAACCCGCATCAGAAAGACCAGACACGGAGATTGGAGAAGATCGAATCAGCCATTCACCAGACAGGCCCGATCTGTTAATAGAGGCACAGCTGCAGAAAAGACCCCAGGTTCGGACATCGAGCAAGCAGCGCCTGAAACCAAGGCGAGGCCAGCCACCAAGGCGCCGACAGGACTATTCTCCCTTGTAAGTCTCCAACCGAGCCAGAACCCAAAGCAACAGCCTGACTGGGGGCAAGAGGTACAGGTAACCCCCACCTCGACCAGTCCTGCCGATAGGCATCGACTCCAAAGTCTTTGCAGTCGGGGAAGGGTGCCACACATACCTGGAGACGCCTCTACCACACCGAAGAGGTTCACCTCCGGGCGCCTGCATGTCCTGCAGAGCCAATTGAAAGAGTCGGCGTCGACCGTCCATTCCGTGGACAGGGGGAATGAATACTTACCTTTCGGCACTTACCTTTCTGGGTGCTTGTCATGGTCGATGGCAGATATAGAATGCTCAAAATCCCATGCGCATTTCTATAGGCCACTGCTCCTCGTGCCTCTCTGAGAGGGGCCAGGTTCTAGCCGTGGTCCCCGGTAGGCCTAGAACTCTACTCACACTGACTGATGCCAAAGTCTAATGATATACATATCAGCCTGGATAGCTCGGGGAAGCCAAAGGGGCTCCCCCCAGAAAAAGGACAGTCTGCCAACCAGGAAGACTCTGGTACCTTGTAATGTACTCAAGGAGGAAAAGTATAACTGAACTCAAAAGAGGAAGGGTCCATTACTGAGGCAAAATCCAGGTCACGCAAGAGGTATGCCACAATGGCCTCCCGCACCTCCTTAGGCAGGAAGCAGAACGCCAAAAACCTCTGGAAAGAAGGGACTGAAGAACCCAAGGGAACTCAGGAAAAAGTAGCAGAACCCATATCAAACTTATTCAGGGAGGGAGAGGATAAGAACCCCCCATCCCCCTGCAACAAGTCGCATGCTGAGGGTACCAACACCCAGGCAGGATCAAACAGGGCCCAAGCCCTACAGGCCAACTCCTCCCCAGCCCAGGTATCCTCCACACCAGGACCCGGGGCAGAGCCATCCTCCAACAACCCGTTCTCGCAAATTCGTACAGTATAGTCAATATTGACTTATTAAATACGTGCATAGGTGATATACTAAACATAATAGATACCCTTAAAAAGATTCATAGAAAACACCGACCTTACCTAACCTTGTTAGTATGTTAAGATAAGCAACTTATTGCTTCGTAATTACAATTGTTACTTAACCTATACCTATAATAGGTTGAGTAACAATTGTAATTACGAAGCTATAAGATGCTTATCTTAACATACTAACAAGGTTAGGTAAGGTCGGTGTTTTCTATGAATCTTTTTAAGGGTATCTATTATGTTTAGTATGTCACCTATGCACTTATTTAATAAGTCAATATTGACTTTACGAATTTGCGAGGACGGGTTGCCTCCAAACCCCCTGCCTCCGAAAAAAGACAGAGTCCACCGGAAAATTTGGAAAGAAGGGTGCCCACTGGTCAGACCCAAAAGCCCCGACTAGAGGAGAAGGCTCAAATGCCTTTTTCGCCGAACCGGATGGGGCAGCTCCCGAAACTGCCCGTCTCTCACCATCATCTAAACCCTGCCCCAACTTTGAAACCCTTAGACATTTGTGAGCCGGCAGGAGGGGGGTAGGGAGGGAGAGCAGGAGGAACAGCACCAGGGAGAGGATAAGGGAGCAAGGACGAAACCAAAGTCAAAGCGACTAACGCTCCCAAGTCCGGGTCCCTATAACACAAGCGGGGCAGCCTCGGGGCATCGACCCTAGTGCGTTGCAGCAACCTAAACCCTGCATGCAACGCCGCAGCCGCTTGCACCCGAAGATCATTATCAGTGGACTGGGTGAACTGGAGCACCTGCAAGAAACACCACTCCCCGGATTCCCGGTCAAAGGTGTCATCGACCCAACAGGCAACATGACTGAGGCAAAGATGGTGAATGTCACCCTGAGACAAGGGAACAGAGCAACCTTCGAGCTCGCATAAAGCGAGATGGGGCCCAGAGGACACATCTATCGGACCAAAGAGCCTCGATAGGGTTCTTCCGGGGCCCTTAGGTTGACTACTAAGGGAAGCCCAGGCAAGATACTGCTAATCGGTTGGCCCAAACTACCGAGAGAACAACTAAAGCTGGACCTCTGCAACGTGTACAATCACGGGGACTTTGTGGGGGACCACCAGAATATCAGAGGGTGGACAATAAGCAAGGAGCAGACCCCCACCAGGCAACAAACAAAAAGAAAAAGAAAACCCCACAAAAGCACAACATCCCCCAGGAGGAACAAAACTGGCCGCTATGAAAATGCAAGACAAGCTGCACAGTACCTTGCGCTCCTACCAGCGACGATACTACCTCCTACCAAGGGTCAAACAGTGGCTACGAAAACCCTAGCTGACCCCAAGGGTGGGTACTCTCCGAGCAGCAAAAGATCCCTATGGAGGTAGTCCCCAAACGACTTGTGGAAGATAACCCCAAGCCACAAAGGCAGTACAGAGCACCTAGGGAAGAAGGCCCTAAGCGCATGCAGCCCCAGTACTTCGAGAATTACTCCTAGCTTGCACACCACAACACAGCAGAACACCGCCGCCAGGGCACTGCACAGAGACAGGAGCCAGAGTCGAATGACCGCCACGAAACACATCAGCCCCAGAACTGGGGTTCAATGGCTGGCACAGTGGTCTGGAGTTTACCCCTCCCCCCTCTCTGGGAGGGGGAAGAGGGAGCTGCACAGAGAGCAGAGTGGTGGCAATTGTGACGTCATGCTTGTTAACTTGTTTTTCGACTGAGGAGTTCTGCTTGATAGTTCGGCTTTCAGTTACAAATTTTTAACCAGGTGGAGTTTGTTTTGAGACGCCTACCTTTCTGGGTGCTTAACTCAGTCGATGGCAGACATGGAATGTTGCCAACCACACAGGGGTTTTATAGGCCGTTGCTCCTCGTGCCTCTCTGAGGGGACCAGGTTCTGGCTCGTGGTCCCCGATAAGCAAGAACTCCAATTGAAAGACTGATGCCACGGTCTAATACATGCATATCAGCTTGGTAAGCTCCGGGGTGCCAGAGGGGCTCTCCCCAGAAAATCTTTTTAAAACAGTCACTTAAACATTTTTTTTATTCTTTTGCAAGCCATGGGAGTCCATACCCATGCTGACTTAACAATACAGGTATATAGATATGTATTATCTAAAGTCATCTATTTACAAATTGCT